GATGGGGCTTAATCATTCAAGAGTTTGTATGTGTTAAGGATTTTAAATTCTGGATTTAACAGGCACCAAGAGGTACCGCGTGAAATGGATAAGAGCTACAAAACAAGACAACAAGATCAAGAATAAATGCACAAATTTAGAGTTTTTGCTTCACCCACCTGTTGGTGGTATGACGCACCTATAAACACATCACTGCTTAACCCATGTTTTATCAAACACTGTATCCCATGGTACACTTCAGTCACAACACTGAAACGATTGTTTGTTATGGCATCTTAAAAATGTCCCATGTGACGCGAAAGCATCACAAGGGAAAGATGACGAGGGGAGGAGAGCAGGAAAACAATCCAGATGGTGGCACATGGGGTGGGGGTGGGGGGGGCACAGCGAATGGACCCGGTGTTCCAGAGGACCCCCTCAGGAGTCTGAGAGTCTCCTCGACTCAAAGGGAAACCATTAACAGAAGAAACAATGTATAATGCATAAGTCATTATCTCACAACCCAGTGGAAAAGAACAGAGCCAACAAGTAATGGAGTCCTTGATGAGTAGTGTTGTACTGGAAGGCACTTTGTAGGTGTCCCAGATGATTTAGTCAAGTTCTGGAGAAACTGTTGTGGAACAAAATGTGTTGAAAGTTTCCACTCAACAAAAACAGCACGTGTCATTGACCCTCTCTGATCCTCTGCAGCTGTCTCACCAGTACCGGCTACTGCCCCCGAGGACAGTTTGTTTATTTGCGGACCAGTTGAGTCCTCTGACCCCGCCGCCCTGTTTACGCCTCCAAGCTTCCCGGACCTCTTCACAACACAGCGAGGAGCGTGCCAAGTGGCCCCGTGGCCGGAGCCAGCACAAACACAGTCTCCCATCATCTTTCGGTGCTGCATTACTGATTTCCTCAAGCGAGTTTAGCATTTCGGCACGGGTGCTCTGCGGATCGAATAACAAACCAAACTGAAACGGACTTTGAGAAAGGCTGAGAATGACTGATGTGGCCTGTTTAATGTGTGAGAGCTGGTTTTTTTTAGCCACATTTCTTTGTGGACTTGAGAAATGTTTTGAATCTACTAGAGTAGCTTTCCTGAAGTTTAATGAGGTCTAACGATCGCATTAGAGATATCTATTCTCTATGACATCACACAGAGTCAAAAGTAGAACAAGCTGAAGGCTGAGCTTTTGGTTCACACGGATGAAGAAAAGACAATAAGACAAAAAA